GGTGACGTAGGTCTTACTGGAACGGCTGACGGCTGGACTGGACTCTACGATGCCTCGTGGTGAACTAAAACGCTGACGGCGGCTTAATTCCTAGGTCCTGGTGACGTGTCGGTAGCGGCTGCGTAGTTTTCCTAAGTGGGACTTGTAAAATTCTTACTCAGGCGGTGACGTATTGCTGGCTAGACGGCAGGCTGGAGCTCGGCACGACTGATTCCTTCGCTGGCAGGTAGCAGACTGGCGTACGATTATCGTCGCGGTGTGAATTTGCCAGCTATCGGCGGGACGCTGCGCGGTGACGGACGGTGTTTGGAATGCCAAAAAGGATGACGGTGCGGTACATCATATTTATTCATAAAATAAAATAAAAAGAACACAAATGTGGGGTGTTGGAAAATCACTTTGTTACACCCCCTCTTACTTCCGCTAAAAAAATAAAAATGAAATGTTTATTTTTTTTCTCAAATAACTCCCTAACTTACAAGGCGCATACCCTACACAGGTTAGTAAAATTTATTTGGGGATATGTTCACCTTTTACAAAAACTAAAACTAATTTCGGAAGAGATTCTATATAAACCAAAATAATTTATCATCTACAGCTTTCAGTGCTGAACAGTATTTTACCCTAGAAAAGAAAAATCAAAACTAAATCAAACAAAACGGTCATTCTGGTCGGAACGGGTTTCGGTTTTTAAGGCGGCAAGTTGCATTGGATGCCCTTGGAAGCGGTTTCGGTTCGGCGGAAAATGTCCGGGAAATAACACTGAACTGCTCTGGATGCGGTCAGGTGTCCTGGATGTGAGCGGGAACGGTGTCGAGGAGCTGCGGATAGACGGCTTCGGCTGGGGATGGCATGTGGGCGGTTTTCGCATGTGCAATCTTTGGACATTATGCCATATCGTCCACATCGGGAACAAAACAGGCGTCGTGTCCGGCTGCAAGTTTGGCGGGAATGGCCAGGATAGCCACATCTCCAACAAAATCTATGTTGTTTTACCGGTAGATAGGTTGGATATGTCGATGATCGTGACGGCGGGCGGATTGGTTGAATGCCAGGTTCTGGCTGGTTTTCCAGAATTCTTGCGGGCGGTACTTCTAGGGAAACTCCTGATGCTGGAACGGTAACTTTCAGAATTTCGGTGCTTGTGGCGTCCCATGGTTGACGGTTGACGGACGGTTGCCTTTTCTGCGCAGTTTGTAGCTGCGAAGGCTTGTACCGCTGACACTGCATACAACATTGTACATACTTGGCGGTATCGCGGAACATACCAGGCCAGTAGTACTTCTGTGATATGCGAGCGATGGTTTTAGCAATTCCCATGTGTCCAGCGGACGGAGCATCATGGTTCTCTTGCAAAACCGCTGAGCGGAGCGGCGTGGGCGTGGGGACGCATAGCTTCCATGGATCGGATAGATCGGGTTCGGTTAAGTCGCTGGAATCCCAGAAGTGGCGGAACAGACGGTTATTGCGTATGCAATAATCCGGGAATGCTTCGGGGTTTCTTTCGACTTCCGACTTCTTTCTGCTATACCATGAACAGTTTGGCGGCTCATTCAGGACGCATAGTTCTCCGGTACTTGGTGCAGAAGAAGTTCCTTCTATCGGCTGACGGGACAGAGCATCGGCTACTCGGTTTAGGGTTCCCTTGCGGTACTTAATTTCGAAGTCGTATTGCTGCAGGAATACGCTCCATCGGGCTAGACGGTCGGCAGGACTTTTTATGGAATGCAGCCATCGCAGAGATTGATGGTCGGTCAGGACGGTGAAGTGATAGCCTTCAAGATACGGTCTCATCTTCTCTATGTCCCACACTATAGCCAAGCACTCTCGTTCAGTGACAGAGTAATTCTTCTCGGCAGGCGACAGTGTGCGACTAGCGTACGCTATCACTCGGTCGTATCCGTCGATATACTGGGTCAGAGCTGCTCCCAGTCCATGATCGGAGGCATCGGTCTGGAGGGTAAACGGTTGTTCGAAGTCCGGACAGGTTAAAATCGGAGCTTCGGTCAGGCAGTTCTTCAAGTGGTTGAAGGCGTCTTCTTGGTCACTGGTCCACTTGAAACGGTGATTTTTCCGGAGTAGTCGGGTTAATGGAGTCACAATCTGGGAAAATGACGGTACAAAGCGTCGGTACCAGGAAGCCATTCCTAGGAAGCGGCGGACGTCTCGGATGTTTCGAGGGGTAGGGAACTTCTTGATTGAAGCCACCCTTTCAGGATCTGTCTGTATCCTCTGGTATTGTATCAAGCCAGTGGTACCATGTAAATCCTTGAGGCAAGGTAACTCGGTCTCCAAGAAGGATTCTAGCTTCTCTTCCTCCGTTGGTGTTGGGGTTGACGACAGAACCTCCAAGGGATCTACATTGGGGCTTGGTGTCGACGAGATGACGGTGTTATCCAGGCTAACGGTGGCAGCGGACGGATTTATCAGGAAGTTGTGTTTGCGCAGGATGTCCATTCCTAGCACAACATCGGAGGATAAATTTGTGAGATACCATAGCCTCTCATCAAATTCTTTACTCCCTATCCGGAATTTGATCTTGTAAACCTCGGTTACGGTCACCAAGTTACCATTTGCTAGCTGAACGGGTGGTGCGGTAGCGGTCTCATAATGTAGGCCTAGTTGACGGATTCGGTCTCCTACATATGAGCGTGCAGCTCCGGTGTCTATCAGTGCCAGGAAGGTCTTTCCCTGAATTCGGATTGGTACGTGCGGTCGATTGTCCGGGTGGCTGACGGATATGGTTTGCGAGGCAAGACTAGGGCGGAACGGTACAGGCCTCGTAACGGTACGGTTCCGGTCTAGTTTTCCGACTGGGAACATGAGCAGTCCCTAGTCATAATTCCAGACTGTCCACATCTGGAGCAGAAAAGGTGGGGCGGTGCTCGACATTGACTTCGAAAATGACCATTTTTCCCACAACGCCAGCAGATAGCGTTGCGGTCAGAAGGGACGTTGGCGGCGGAAGTCGAAGGTTGTTCTTCCGGTGTTCGGACGTTTCTTGCGGTCTGTGGTCTAATCGGGGTTGTCTCAATCGGTCTTTGTTCTGGTCGGGTGGTTCTTGGCGGATCAGATCTCACTGACAGAGTTGTCTGGGTCCTTGCTGGTGGTGGTGTTACGGGTGGTCGGACAGTTACTGGTGCCTGGTTGCGGACGAAGTTAGGCGGAGATGGCGCGGTTGGTTTGGCAGGTCGGTTAGCCGCGATCTCTCTCTGCAGAGCTTCGTATTCCTCCACTTGACGAATCAGGTCACGAGGACTCTGGATCTCGCTTCGGCGGATGTACTGTCGGTATTCAGGAAGCAAATTTCCATACAGTCGTTGCAGGGCTCGGTCGGACGAGAATCCTCCATGTCGGCGTAGCAGAGTCTGTAAGGAGACTAGGTAGTCTCGGCCGGACTCCCCTACTTTCTGGCGGTGCTGGAATATTTGTACTTCCAGGAACGATTCATTATTGGTCGGCAGGTAAAATTGTTTGAAGTCGCCAATAAAATCGTCCAACTGTTCCATAAGTCGCGGTTGTTCCGGTACCAGGCTAAAGCGTTGCCTTGAAAGATTTCATACAAAGCGGGTAAGATGGCTGACGTTGGTATGTCGCTGTGTTCCTGAAATTCCCAGTGCTTCTCCAAGAACTCCACGGGATCGGTCCTTCCGTTGAAGTGCAGATTCCACTTCCTTACTCTCTCACATACGGTACTGATGCTGAGCGGGGTAGAAGAGTTGCTGACCAGCGGTCCACTTGCTGTGGTCGGCACGACAAGCGGCGGTGGCGGTGGTACGACGAAAGCGGGGGCGGTGTGCCTTGGTTGCGGTGATGCACATCCGTCTTTAATGAACCTCACCAGTCTTTTCTTCTTTTCCTCCACGGTCACGGAGATGTCTAGGCGGAATTTCTCCAGTTCCATGTCTAGTTGTTCCTTTCTGAGCTTATATATCCAGCTCAGTCGGAAATCTGTCAAGTCGGAGCTTCCGGCTTCTACGGCTGGTTCAGGGTCGGACAAGATTCGGGTTTCTTCGCTGAACATCATGTCTGCTTCTGGTCTTGGTGCGGTGATGGCTGCGGAGCTCTCCAGTTGCACGTCTG